TGGCACTCCCACTCCTTGGTAACGGCAGCGATGTCATAATCAAGTGGCGAGCAAGACGCAATGGTGGAGTTCACGAACCTGAGAATCGCCTGTTGCTGCTCTGGATTCCCCTGCTATGTGGGTGCCTTGCCGCCACGTTGTACGGCCTGGCAGCGGAAAACCCAGGAGATTACCACTGGTTCGTCTTCGTATTCGCCAATGCAGCGTATTACTTCGCGTTCGTTGGCGCCAACATCGCTGCAATCACGTACCTTCTTGACTCTTGTAAGTGTTTCTGGATGGACGGCATGTGAGACATACACTGACTTTACATATTTACATTTAGATCCAGCACGCGCTGGCCCTATTCTTGTCGTCATCACGGCTCTTCGAGGCTTCGTGTCTTTCGGCACCAGCTATGGTGTCGCCAGGTTCATCGAGACCGATGGCTACGACGGAACGTTCGGAACGTACGCCGGACTCACGGCACTCTTCGGTCTTTTTGGCATACCTGTCTTCCTGTATGGTAAGAAGATCAGGGCCTATACCGGCAAGTGGGCGATGAAGAAGGTGTCAGGCCACCCTTCCATGTCGCACTGAGAAGACAGTCTGTCGTATGCTCGTGTCACGTCGGCGGAAGATCTACGGAGATACCAGACAGATGAGTGCAGCTGTGTTGTATTGGCGTTGCAGCGAGACTGTTGTGTTGCTGTTTTGGCGTGGCTGGGGAAGCGCGTGCGTCCTAGTCTAATTCAGATATGTTTGAATGTGGATATCGCTCGTAAACCCCTTGATTGGCTTTCGAGCCGTGTCGTATCATGTTATGTGACTGCTTCTGCCTGATCAGTGACGATTGTGGCAGAGGTGGGCTGGCAACGTACACGGGCAATCATGTCAACAACGTAGCATTAGCTTCAAGGTGCTGTATGTCCCTGGAAGGGCCCTTCAACGGCGGCCTGAGAAAGCCGGTAAGTTACGGTCGGTATGGATGGGTACCATGGCCTTGCATAGCAATGTCAGTGTCGGTGTTGGCTAGGTCTTCGTTGGTGATGGATGCGTTGACGCGTCATAGGCATTGTCGGCATCCAGTCGAGTCATTTGGACAGCAGCGCACTATAATCAGAACGCTGAATAGAATCTCGTGATCCTCTTCAGCGCCTTTATCTGGTTGTTGAGCCATGCCGTGATAGATGGCTGTCAGACGGGCACGTTGGGTAAGCTTCGTTGATGTCATAGTTTTTTATTTCAGCTAGCGAGAGAAAGCGGCCTAATCTGGACTAACGCGTCACGCTAGGCACGCGTACCAGATCAGGCGCGTTGGATGCTACTCATCCACCACCTCCCCTACCACCTTGGGCGCGCTCCAAGATCAAGCCACTCTCACACTTAGACTTCCGCCTTGATATACGGGATGCCAGTCAGCTTGAATGTCCTCTCATCCATGATCGGCTTGTTCACCGGCTCGAACCGATTGTGCGGGTCGTCCACTCCGTCTCTTTTCGCAACGTTTGAGCCTGTGTGCCTCGCGTTTGGCCAGTGGGTCGTTCCCACCCAGCGCTCGTACGCATCCTTCTTCCTGCGCAAGTCCTCTTGAGTGGCATCTTCTACAGGCATGTAGCATGTGTAGATTGCAAAACGAGGCTGCTTCGTCTTGGAGCTCAGGTTGTAGTGAGGGGTGCGGGAGTCCCACACCAGCAGATCGCCGGGCTCTGCACACACCTTCGCCCACTTCAGGCCTTTCTTCTCGAGCCACTTCATGCCGTTCTCAGTGAAGCCATACCACTCTGGTGTCCACGCTGGAATGCGTTCCTCGTCCGCCATGTCTTTATGGAACTCGTCGGACAACAGGTGTCCGCCCGGACACACGATCAATCCGCCGTCCTCTGGACCATTGGGAAGCAGATTCACCAAGCCTTGCAGACATCGGAATCCAGGTTTCAATGGGTCTTGGTCTTGGTGAGGCCACGGCTTGTTCGGTGCCAGGTCTGAGCGACTAGAGTGACTGTCAGCTTGTTCGAGGCATGGATGCGCCCAACATACGGCAATGTGAAGTTGATCGCATCAAACGACACGATCAAGTCCTCGGTATTGTAAACCTTCTCAAAGGCTCCTACAACGCCAGGCTCTCCTCGGATCGCCCAAGCAAAGTCCTCGTGGGTAACAGCATATTGGAGGCACATGCCCTTTTCAGTTATCAACGGGAGCTTGTCTTTGTGGACCGTGGACAAGTCATTGCGGTCATAGCCGAGGTTGCTGGAAAATGTGAGTGCTTTACGATATCACGTTGTGGTGTCTGTACTTACAATCCTTCCAACCAGCTATACATCTTGTCTGCGTACTTATCGGCCCTCTCCTTCGGAATTGCACCCTTGATGACTGCATAGCCATCTCTAGCCAGGTCGTCCCTCCAGTCTCCGAACGTCGTATCCGTGCCATCCACCCTCATGCGCTGATCTTCGACGGCCTTCAGCGTAACCGACGCTGTCTTCGTTGCGGTGGAGATCATGTCGTTGGGTATATTGGTCTTGGGGCTGTTTGCCGAATTGAATGGAACTTGATTGCTGTGTTGGGAAGACTGGCTTGGAGGTCATATTCAACAGTCTTCTCACACGATATCTGAGCGCCTGTGCGATGTGCAGCCTTTGGCGTTGCCCACACGGACCGAACGTGTCTAGGCCCACCTCTCCGAACCCCGATTACGACGACGGCGCATGCGAGATGCACGAACCTGAATACACATTGCGGGGATGTTGGGAGAAGATCTCGTAAAGTGGAGGGTAGAGATCAATTCCAGCAGGTTTCCCTTGCTAGGACGGTGAGAGGTTATCGATTATCAGGCAACCGCTTTCCCGGGATACCACCAACATGTTCGATTTCACTCCGGCACAATATCTTGACACTCCATCAATTCCTCTTCCTGTACACCCATGACTGCGCTCACAATGTCATCGTCAACACCATTTCGGATCATTATTGTGGGCGGTGGTATCGCAGGATTGGCAGCAGCTATAGCCCTTCGGAAGGACAGTCGACAGATTACGATCCTCGAACAATCTCGTCTCAGCGCAGAGATCGGCGCTACGATCTCACTACAACCCAATGCCACAAGGATCCTAGAACAGTCGTGGGGATTAACAGATCTGCTCAACGGCTCGAACGGCACGGTCGACCACGGATTCAGGATCTACAATGCTGACGGCAAGATGGTGAATGAAATACCTCTACGGAGCAAGACGCAGTATGGCGCAGACCGCATCATGTGGCACCGCGAAGATCTCCACGCCTATCTCAAGAAGGCAGCTACATCCATCGAACGGGACGGCCAGCCTGCAATACTGCGTACTTCGGCACGAGTATCTCGGTGTGACTGTGAAGGAGGCAAAGTCATACTTGAGAGTGGTGAGCATTTAGAAGCAGACCTTGTCATTGGCGCGGATGGCATTCACAGTGCTCTACGTACTTCTATACTCGGTCGAGAGGCTCATCCCAAGCCCACAGGTTCCTCGGCATACCGGCTTATGCTGCCAACTGCGATTCTGAACGAGCGCGCGCCTCAATTCTCCGAAAACATCAACCCAGAGGAGCCCTATACTTCTATGATCATGGCACACTCCTGTCGACTCATCATGGGTCCTGCACGCGGCGGATCACTTTACAGTATCGTTGGACTGGTACCGGACGAGCAGATGAACGAGAATTCCGACGAAGCGCAGTCGTGGGTGACGAAAGGACACCCTGAAAAGATGTTGGAAACATTCAAGGATTTCCCCAGCTGGACCAAAGATGCACTCCGGAATGCCGAAAGCATCGGTCTCTGGCAGCTACGCGATTTGGATCCGCTAGATAAATGGCACTCTGGACGCGCGATTATCATTGGGGATGCCGCGCACGCTATGCTACCGACTCAAGGCCAAGGTGCAAGCCAAACCATTGAGGACGCCGAAGCTTTAGGAACGCTCTTCAGTCACATCATCGGCAGGCCATCCAAGGACGAAGTGTCTTCGATCCTAGAAGACGTCTTCAAAAGTAGACACGAACGTGCAAGCTTGATACAGCGATTCAGCCGCGAAGCTGCGAAGCCTGCAACGGAACGAGGCAGCAATGTGATCAAAATGTGAGTGCAAGTCGCGCAGGTTTTTTGGCATGATCTAACCGGGACAGGCACCCTGATGAATTCATGGATTACAACTGCACCTATCGGGGAGTGCATGATTGGGAGCAAAGGCGTTCTATGTCAGCAATAACGGTTGGTCTCAAAACAACAGCAGTGGCTTAGACCAGGTCCCACACTTCGGTCGACACGGGTATTGGCGACACCTGAGCCGCGCCCTCTGAATCGATGTTTCTGCTGCAGTTGTAGACATAGGCGACATGGCTTGATGAGTGAGGCTTGCAATGTGAAACGTGACTACTCCCGAGGATGTTGAAGGTTCGGCAATTGATATGCCGTCGGCTCGATTGGTGTGACGGTTCAGACACACCCCGCATCTGAACAAGGGTAGGGGCGCCCACTTTCCGATGGCCGGAAGCCTTGATGCGCTTTGAACTACCTGCTCGTTTTTTTCCCACATTTCCGTTCCTCAGTTCTTGAATTATGTCAGTCGAGATAGCGGTGACCCCAACGAATGCGCGACCCTCGAAACGTAAGTGGACTTCCGATGCGTCAATTGGTGGGCTTCAGTGTCAAGTCTGCCACCGATCATACGAACGTGCCGACCACTTGAACCGACATCTAGACTCACGTAAGTTTCGCTCACCGTTGGCCATCACTCAACGAAATACTAACGATGCACAGACCGCAACGAGAGGTCGTTTCATTGTGAGGAGTGCCCTGCAGCGTTCAACCGAAGGGATTTGCTACTCAGGCATCAAGCAACTCACACAAAGAATGCTAAAGATGGGCTCGTAGGCCCATATCGCGTAGCAGAACGTGCCACGAAGGCCTGTAACTCCTGCGTCGTATCAAAAGTCAAATGCGACAATGGAAGGCCATGCAAACGGTGCCAAAAGAAAAGCCTACCATGCCTGACAAAGTCGCCCGATCCGTCACCGCCCGCTCAAGCAGATGTAGGACAACAGTCAGCGCAAGTGTTTGCAGCATCTGTTGAAGAGCAGAGCAACCCATACCAATTTGACGATGACATGCAACTGAACGATGTCTACCTCAACGAGACCAATACTGAGGCGCAAGCTCTACTCGATCTGTACAATACCACTGGTTATACCCAGCATACCATCCCGGCCTTTTTCGAACAGATCATGGTTCCCGCACCAGACTTCTTGGGTAGTGACTACATGCAACCGCCTCCAGATCTGACCGCATGGATGCCAGAGAGTGACTGGCTTGGTCAGGTTGACATTTTTGGCAATGATTTCACTCCAACTGTCAGTCAGATGCTAGAAGTGCAGACATCGCAGGTGACAGCCTTGCCTTCTGCAACGCCGCCTCTTAATACAGATGTTTCTCACGAGAAGATTGATAGCAACTCCGCGAAGAGGCGCCATGCAGTCTTCAAACAGTCTGCCTGGTAAGCCACACTGACCGATAGACCAATCAGCGCTGACCTGCTTTAGGTTCTGGATCCCCGAGCGTAACCAGCACGCTTTCAGCGAGCACGAAAACATCGCTTTGGACGAGCGTAACGTAGATCTTGCCTCGTCACCACACATGCCATATTCTTCCAACGTTGTGATCCCAGATAAGCTATCGCCGGCAGCCCGTGACCGCATCTTCCAATTGGTGTCGAAGACAGCACAGAGCCATATCACCATTCCTTCTTTCCCTTCGGCAGAGTGCGTCGACAAGCTGATCAAAGTTGGAATTGCAAAAAGAACTGAAACGGATGCATGGATCCATCCGTATACCTTCGAAAGCGAGACTGCCCGGCCAGAATATCTCACTGCCTTGGTGGCAGCTGGGTGCGTATGTTTTGGCGTACTCTCGGTGAGCAGGACAGGCTTGGCGCTACAGGAGATAGTCCGAGTCGCGTTGAACAGGCTGGTAAGTCTTTTGCAAATACCAGGCTTGACACCAAGTCGAAGGATGTCTAATACGTCTCCAGTCCGAGAATGATAACAGTGTGATACGCGACCTTGAATATCTCCAAGCTTCGATGCTTTGGCTTGATATCGGGGCATTCTGTGGGTACAGGAGGAAGATGGAAATCGCGGAGAGTAGCTTGCAATCTCTTGTCACGGTAAGAAGCTCTGATATGATAGTGTAACACACGTTGACTCTGTAGGCACTACGGCGCGCCGGTAGATTCGATTACATCCGGTATCCTGCAGTTACACCGTCTGCAGAGGATGGCGACGAGGAACTACATGCAAAGTGGAAGCAGTGGGTGGAGCAAGAATCTTACAAGAGGTATGACAGACACAGTAGACTCTGTTTACCCAGCATCTAATACAGACAGGTTGGTGTATCACTTGTTCGAGCACGATATCCACATGACTATGGCCAAACATCGCCCGCCACTTATCAGCTACGCTGAACTTACGCTCATGTTGCCTGCCTCGAAGACCCTGTGGTTGGCACCTTCAGCAGAGACATGGCGAATGCGCTATCTTGACATGGACGTCGTCGCCAGCGCTCCCTCACTGCAAACACTTCTGAAAGACGAAGCTGCCATACACTGTCTTCCTGCCACCATCGACATGCAAGTCGCTCACTCATCTTATCTGCATGGCATTGCTGCCCAAATCTGGGAGTATACACAGCAATCTGCGCTGATGAACGAGAGCAGCGACGCCGCTTCACAGCTCTGGGCTCGATCTCGTCAGGAAAAACTGTTGGTGTATCTTCTCTCATACTCGATGAAGCTGACACTCCCCCGCAGATACCAATACCTTCAACGCGAAGATCTTGTACCTAGCAAACATCCAGCCGTGACCTGTCTGTTCCACCAATTCTTGCAGATGTACCTCCACGTCAACCTCGATCTAATCACGCGCTTCGCCGGCAAATGCGGTGAGAGCGCTGCCAACAGCGCGTACACTCACCTCTCACCCTGGAGCCAAACCAAAGAAGCCAGAGTCGCCATCTGGCATGCTGGACAGGTAGTCCGAGCTGCGCGACAAATCCCGCCATACCAGATCCGCGGCCCAGATTCCTTCATGTTGTACCATGCCATTATGGTCCTCTGGACATACAGCATGATGACGCGCGACCTAGCGAAGAAGACCGGTACTACGACGCCGATGCGCACACGGCCAAGTTCGCTTCCGGGCAAACTTATCTACCTCGATGATGCCGCCTCTGATAACCAGGCTGGCGTTAATGCCTTCATTGCTACGAACAGCGGTATACCGTGCCTTCGCATCATCTCTACGCACCAGCCGGTGGCATCGGAGTCTGGAGCGATTGCTCGGCCCGAAATCTGCAACCTCAAGTATCCTTCACAGGTTATGAAGGTGGGCGTTATGCTTCTTGAATCCACACATCCTGACGTGGATCGTGAAACTGGGCCGCCGCTCGTGCGGGCGCTTTGTGGACTGATGGAAGAACTTGGAGGTCTGAGATGAGAGGATTTGGTATATTCCATTGCGATGGCAGGACTCTACGCTTACGATCTTGATTGTCAACATACAGTTCCTTGTCAATCAGCACTGTGCTCGCGCACACCTTGATCAAAGGTCGGGGATCGGGCAGCGTAGTCAAACGAGCGCATTGCAACGAAGAATGAGAGACATTGATCAAAGAGCGATTAAAATGTATTTCGTGATCTCATAAGCCCGAGCACTTCGCGCTAGACCCTTCCATTCCACAGTACCAAGAAAGCAAAAACATGCTTCGACTTAACATCCCTAGACCCACCCGATAGCCATCGGAAGTCCGATACAGTGCGAAGCCCACGTAACCATCAGAACCGCCGTTCGCCGACGGCAGTCATGACAGTGTATGTACACCCCACTTAAGCCTTGTTAGAGCCGCGCTTTGAGCCACTCGCAAGATCGGCAAGATCCTCCATGAGGTCATTCCAGATCTGCTTTACCATACCCTCACCCTCCTCGCGGGTAGACGTGAATTTGTTGGCGACAGCCTCAGCGATGCCCTGGTAGCCAGACTGGTTTGTGTCGGACACTTCGGTCATTGCGGAGGGGGAGTGGATGTGGGTACCGTCAGCGGAGACGGTGTAGATTGTGGGCTGCATGGGGATCTAGGAACCATATCGTTAGCACTCTTGCGCGATAAACAAAAGACAGAGAGTGGGACAAGACTTACGGAATCCTCGCTCTCAGCACCCCGGCTGGCAACGTTGGCCCATGGGATGATAGGGACTCTGATGCCCATGGGCGCGCTTCGGCTCTCCAGGTCGAACTCCGGGAAGTGCATAAAGTCCAGGGTACTGGAATCGCCGACGGACTTTAAACTCCTCGATGTGTTAAAGCGGCGGACTTTGTTGCCGGTCTCGGTAGCCTCGGGGACTGGGATGGTTTGCTCGCCATGAAGGCGGATGGGTCCCGCTGAACGATTTGAGGCATAGGGCTTATCGGTTGTGAGGAGCGATGAAGAGGCAGTCGAACCTGTCATTGACAGCTGGCGGACTGTGAGACGAGGGCCCAGAAGGCGGGGGCCGGCGAGGGCGCTGATGATGCGAACGCTGGGTTTTGAGGCGGCCATTGCGAAGATGTGTGTAGTGTTGATGTATGGGGAAGTTGATGTGAACGAAACGCAAGTGCGCGCGAAGGGGAAGAAGTAGTAGTATGCGAAAGAAGCAAGACGAGCAATTAGTGGTAGATTATAAGACGATAAGGTTTCAGTGACGCAAAGATGCGGGCGTCAGTAAGCTTCGGAAGGCGGCGGGCAATGGGAGGCGCTATCAGGCGAACCGGTAGACAGGAACAGGTGTTGAGAGGACAGGAATGACAGCTGAGCTCGCGACACAGTGAGGGGAAGCTCTCCCTTTTCTAAGCCGTCGAGCCTCACAACACAGCAGCGGCGACCACCTTCGGATTCCTTGGCCTGCGTTCTGGAATCTCTACAGAGAGCGGTCAGTGAGCTGTGCTGTACAACGACTCAGGACACCCTCGTGGGTTGTTCACTTCATAACGAGTGGGCACATCGGGGATGCAGCGTTGGACTCCGTGGTGCTCAGTGGATGGGAGCTTGCTGGGAGGGAGCTTGGGGCACCCACTATACTGCATGTGGCACAAGGGCTGGCCCGAACCAATGGAAGGGACCCACTCTAGCATGCCCAGCACGTCTCCCCCGCACTTTTGATCATGGTCGCAGCGTGCTCAAATAAACCGTCTGATGTCTTGACTGTGACTACGGCACTCGATTGAAGTAAAAACATGATGGTCGTTGAGCGTCCACGCACAGCATGTTCGTTCGTGATGGCGTCCACCTTGAACGCAACGGCGCCAAAATGTCGGTGTACATAGCAGTTGTTGAGCGCACAGTTGCAGGGGGGATCGCCATAGGTTTAGCGATGTCGGCTCCCTCCCGTCACCATGCACAGGACATACTTGTGCCTGTATGATCGGCTCTCCACCCAGTGCGCATAAGCTTCGGTGACACTTTACTGGGCAAATGAGGCGTGCGATAAGGAGATGCGCCCAGCCTATTCTGTTTTACCAAGACGTCAAGATCGGGGTCTTGTGATGCCTGCATGCCGACCTTGCATGTATATACGATGCAATCTGGTTGTGGTGGTGTTGTGCTGGGCAGTCTGCATCTCGATGTCGTGCTGGGTCTGCGGCTTGATCCTACTATTCTCGCGATCAATGTTTGCAGCACAGACGGTCAAGGTCGACCAGAAGTTCGAGATTTCTTTCGCAAAGTCTTCCGAAAGGAGTAAAGTGAGGCTGTGAATTCCATGATTAGAAGCGTCCCACCCTGACTAAGATATACCACTGCCCCACTGCGCACCATGTCCACGTACCAAATCTGCACCAGCCGCCTCAGACCAACATTCCCACGCGACCCCACTTACCCAACGACTTTCCAGGCGTCCTCGACATGTCCTTTTGAGTGGTTTTGACCAAGTAACATTACCACCTACTTTCGAAATTTGTCATCAACAAGACAAAAGTCGGCCTGATGGTCTAGTGGTATGATTGTCGCTTCGGGAAAATTATCCTGGATACAGAGTATCTGTTATGTGACAGGCCCCGGGTGTAAGTTGCCACAGTCTTGAATATGTGAAGTTTAGAATCTAACATTTGTGAAGTCGAATCCCGGTCAGGCCCACTCTCCTTTTTTGCTCCTGCAAAGCCCATAAAAGCTCCGTATGTTCTGCGTAATAGTCTGCATCTTTTTTTTAACCCCCTATTTGTATACTCTAAGATTGGAATTTACCTCTTCCAGAAAATGCTTTCTCTCGCTCTGCATGTTTGCTGCCTCCAGACGTGAGGACGAGGACGCATATAGCACAGGGAACAGCTCACAACGAGCATCTTCGCATCTTCCCTGAGGGTCCCAAGGAAAATATAGCATTAGCGACTATCATAACTTGAAGTCCTACAATTTGCCTATCTATATGCGTCTCTGCAAAGCACAAGTCTACGAAACGCGCATTCAGTAACCAGGCTAGAGATCCTCTTGTGCTTGCTTTCACAAACACGCGGTACAGGAACACAAGCGAACGCACGTTGCAAACCATGCGCTTCTAGAATAGCAATCATACTAGATCTCCGGCTGGCGTCCCATGCTGTATGATTAAACTTACATACATCAGGATAATTCTCCAGCGTAGCCAAAGCACCAGTCACATCACATCTCCAACGACCAAGAATCAAAGTGAAGGCTTGAAGCTACATTTCCTGTGGTATATACTCTGGTCTAAATCAAGCAATACAACGCCACCGAGCAAAGACGGCTACAAGCAGGCGTCGAGACCTATAATCTCCAAAACAAAACTCCCTGATAGTCTCCAATCCGGGGGTATCAATGACCCTTGGGCGCATACGAAGCAATGAAAGTGGTATCCAAACAAGAACATGAAGTGACAGAAGGCAGAGGCGCGCATGGTTCGTAGAATCAAGTCGTGAATGCGTGGCAGAATCGTAAAGAGATGAGGGCTGCCAGAGAAAGCAGAGCGTGAAGGACGGCTACCGTCCGTCGTACGAGTCACTAACCCACCCGCTGTTGTTTCCACCAGCGTACATGGGCTGTTGACCGCCCTGTTGGTAGTCGCTCTCTTCTTCAAAGTACTCGCCTCCACTAGAAGCATCGAAACTGCTGCGACCGCTTATATCGCCATCGTCGTCAGGCGGCCCGGCTGGGAGCTGATCCCACTGAATGCCCGCCAGTGCTGGGTACTGAGCGAGAATGGCAGCAGGTAGGAATGGCTGTGGGGCTTGCATGCCCCCAGCCTGAGGGAACGACTCGAAGCCAGTTTGCCCGGGCATCATGCTACCAAAGTTTTGAGCTGGCATTGGTGCGAACATGCCATTGCCATTGTTCAACTGCTGGTTCTGGCCATCCCATTCACCCTTCTCGCGCGCCTCCTCTTCGAGTAGCGGACGGATACACACGCGGCCTGCCTCGGATCGAAAGTGACGTCCAAGAGCATCTGCACGGGCGAATCGTCGACCGCAGCCCCAGTTGTTGCCATTCTTGAGGTTGCCACGGCAGACAAACTTCTTCTCGCCCGAATGAAGACCTTCATGTCGCTTGCGATCGTGCTGGCGCGCAAAGGCTTTCCCACAGACGCTGCAGACGAACGGACGCTCGTCCGTATGTGTTCGCAGATGCGATCGGAGGTTGTAGGCTCGAGTGAAGCGCTTTGGACACAGCGTGCACTGAAAGGTTGCCGGATGCTTCTGTGTGCGCTTTGGGTTGGAGCCATCGGCGGGCGCAGGTCGCGACGGATCTGCAAGATCCAAGATGTAGTCGCGATTGGGTACGCTTGATGTAGAAGAACGGCGGGAGGATTTGTTCGACGGCGAAGGGGAACGAGACTTGGCAGCGTGGGGGGAAAGTGAGCGGTTCACATCCGAGCCTGGTGTTGATGCGCGCGAGCTAGCACTGCTGAAAGGATCGGATCTGGCGCGAGTTCTGTTCCGGCTGCGTGCTGTTTCGCTGTTAGAAATGGTTGGTAGGATTCATTGGACTGCTTACATCTGTCTGGCGGGCTCAGCGCATCTATTTGATGCTCGGGCTTGGGTGGCTCAAAGCTTGCCTGCCGTGAAGGCGGTGCGAAGTCAATGTTGATTTCCGGCGGCGACATGGCGTCGGCCTGACCGAACTCAGGCACAGGCTGGTTCAGTGAGGGAAACGGCTCAGCTTGACCTGGGTAGCTATTCATGTCTGGAGGCGCATACGGGTTCATGTTCTGAGTGAGACCAAAGGTTTCGGGCTGGAATTGCGGAAGGACTTGTTGATTCGTCGGAAGCAGACGAGGCGAGATGTGAGGGCTGTTACCCGCGCTCATGTGCGCATTGCTGCTGTTCAGGTTGAATCGGTCGAATCCTGGGACAGGGTCCTGGAATAGCTGGGGGTCGTTCTGTGCGTTGATGAGGGGTGATGGCTGCTCATTGTCCAAGCTGTCCTGGTGGTGCAAGTACGGCGAGTTGTG